ATAATAAGACGAGCACGAGGAAGGAAGGTCGGATGCCTCGGCCAGTCTCTCCTTCCAAAAGGATAAACGGGTCAAGCTAGATCCATGGCGAAGCTTCGTGTCGGTACCACCATTCGTTACGTGCTGGCTGTACATACAGCAAACACAGCTCAGCTCAGTTCATTTCGTTTACTTCAACGAATACCTTAAAACTTTTCGTAAACCCTAGTCAAAACAACAACAACAAAAAACAGTGGGAGGAGGGGGAACAAACTCACAGGTCTCACAATCCAACCAATTCACAATTCGCAAACCAGCACAGCAAGACACATGCACTCAGCTCAGCTGATCATTGCCACTGATCTCGTGATGTCAGACAGGGCTGCATCCTCGTATTATTTTTCTTTTAAATATGAAAAGACGCCCATGTTGTTTTGGAGTAATTTATATGGAACGTGCGGCTGCTGTCATTCCACCCTCAACTAAAATTAAGGCACCTTCAGCATTTCTTTTTGCCACTCAAAGAATTGTACCCCACCTGTTTGGCACTCTTTTGCAGTATGCGACCATGAAAGTAGCTTTTTCTGGCCAAAAATGTGGTAAATAATTTCCAAAGACATATCTGACCATTTGGGTACTTCTGCCGACAGTGATCAGGGATAGCTACAAACTGACGTCGGGCAAACGAAGATCATGGTGCAGAGAAAACAACATATTATCGTTTAAGCTTTATTTACTCTGTTCAAGCAACACCTTGCTAATCATCACTGTTGGTTATTGCTCACTTAATAAAGAGAACTGGAAACGGATTAAAAGGAAGAAAACTGAAACGGATGGAACCGAAGGCAGAACGATGGCAAGGAGCTGAGAGGAGGCCAGAGCGGTGGATGACGCTCAATCCCTCCCCACACCGGTGGCGAGAAGCTAGGAGGACAGAGCGTTGGGTGTCGCTCAATCCCTCCTCTATCCGGTGGCGAGAAGCTAGGAGGACAGAGCGTTAGATGGCGCTCAATCCCCCCACACCGGTGGCGAGAGGCTGGGAGGAGGACAGAGCGGTGGGTGGCGCCCGGTCGCCGCCGGTCGATGCATCAGTTGACCGTCCTCCGACACATTGATCTCGGACGAGATCCGGCCGCAGGCCAATCAGAACGCAGAGCGGCGGCGGCGGCGCGGTCTTCGACCAACCAGCGCTGGCGTCTCAAGGAGCTGGCTCCCCGACGACTTCGGAGCTGCCGCGGAAACGACCAATGGAAAAATCCAGCTACGTCTCGCGAATGCGGGGAAAATGTCCGGGGCGGGGTGCAGTTAACGGGCTACGAGCCTGCTCTCCCACGTAAGCCAGCTCACTAATCCGTCGTCTCATTTCCCAACACCGACAACTTCGTTCTGGTGTTGTTTCAATTTCAGTTGCAATCTGTGATAATCTGGTAAAAGCATCAAATAAAACAAACGGTGTTCTGTCAGAGTTCTAACGTGCTTCGAAGTTACAGCGCTGAATGACGTTGTATGGTAACGGTAGGATTCTGACCCCCCCCCCCCCGTCCCCAATTCTGTCACATTACAAATAGTTATGAAGACGCCATTGTTTGTAAAACAAACTTGTATCATTTTAACTGTTTATATATTGTGTGTCACAGTGCATTCATGTACACAGTTGTTCTCATACAGGGTGCGAATGTCAAACTTTCTACGAACTCCTGTGAATTTGGAACCGAATTTCTGCGTAGTATCTATGTGGGTAGTATCTGGGGGGGGGGGGGGGGGGGGGCACCATGTCCTCTTCTTGGCTACGTCAGAGGCGCAAGGTCTGCTGGAACAAATCTCAAGTGCCTCAAATGTTTGGATGAATGTTGATGGATGATCGTAGGATCCCGTAGTGGTGCTGGTGCTAACGCGCCCTGCTTGATCACCATACAGTGTTCGACACAGAACATGCATTTTACATATTAGAGCACCAGATTCCTATGTTTATAAATGCTTGGTACATTCTAAAAGCCTGCATCAAGACCATAAGACTCAATAAACAGCATTCTGTTTTCTGCTTTGTACATACAAGGTGCATATTTGTACGTTTCAGTGACGTCGGATAGACCGGCGAGGCAGCCCGACGTTAATGGCAGCTGGTCAGTCATAAAAGTCGGTCAGTTACGCACGTGCCCCTCATGGGGTGCTATAATGGGATGTCCTGGATGTAAGGGCACCCGCAATCTTTATTGCTAATGACGCTGGAGACACGCAATTTTTCAGAGCACACAGCCTAGATGATACTCCTTTTATTGTCTGGTCACGGCAGTCAATGTGGTCAAACGAAACGAAACGAAGCTAAAAGGTCCAAAACAAGGTCAAACAAGCATGTAGGTCAAGCACCAATCAGTGTTGAACACGACCTCTATCAGCTGGATACGTTTCTGTGGGCTGTAAATTGTGGCTGGCCATTCTGATCAAGGGGTAAGTTTTGTCGAGGTTGTATGGAACAAATAGACTTAATGTGCATGTCAGTTATGTATACCGATATTTTTGGATGATTTAGACAGATTTTTTATGCGTAGTCTAGTGACCAAAAACAGAGAGGATTTTCTATGTCCCAGCTTAAGACGCCTCCTTTCCTTATTGATAGGGAATACAACGCACGTCCTTACACACCTTTTTACGGAAAGCCAGCGGCTGCAGAGGTCACATTAACGCTCAGGGGTCATGGTTTTACAGGGATTCACAACCCCCCCCCCCCCACCGTTGTAAGAGCCGCAGGTGCTAGCAACTCGTCCAGTGCGACCTCTTTCATTTCATTGTTGTCATTAACATGAAAATTAAGATCTTCAGAGTTGTTGTGCACATCATGCGCCACAATCCACGACACTGCATCAACAAGTGAAGCAGAATGGGACGGTGAAACTTCATGCTAGTCACAGCATTAGTCGTTCAAAAACCTAATAAATGCCCATACTGATAACCATCGCGAGAAACATTCGGGGGTCTCTGAGTAAACACTCCACGCGCATGCACACATTCAAACTGGTCATCATTCGGATCGATTCTAAAGTATCATTTGCGGATAAAAGGGCAGAATCGAGGCGCATCCAAAAGCCGAGCAGGATACCAGTCTTGATGTGTTTAGGTCGAGTTTCGCAGCTATTACTACATCAAATAGGTCAGGTGTCGACAATTTAAAGGGAATGTTTCACGTTCGAAGCAAACGCATTAGATGCATCATGATATGTCGAAACAAACAAGCTTTTATCACTCTCTAACGTTATTAAATATTTCTGAAAACGATGCTGAAGTAGGCTATCAAATTTGGTAAGGCAGTGCTGAGTGCCTTAAAGGGAATGCACCACATTTGAAGATAGGGGAGTAAGCATCAGATATACTGAAATAAGTTCGCTAATAACTACTGTTATTTCTTAATTGTAACGGGCTGCTCTGGATTGTACCCCTTGACTCTATTTTTCTGTATAGTGAACATGTTCCTCAATACGTCATTGTCTGATTACGTCACCGTACGTTGCACAACAGTGATTGAAAGCCAATTCACAGCCGTAATTTCTGGATGGCTCGCTGGCTCTGGCTCACGAACGCCAGATTTCACCGTCTCGACAATTATAATCGATTGGCTTTGATTACCGAATGGACAATAGAGTGACATACTTTGAATGACGTTATCACACCGTCATGAATGTCTAGGTGACTTTGAAATACTCTCCCCGAAAAAAGTCGGCACAGCCCGACACACAGCACAGCAGAGCGCATAGCCCAGACACTGGACGGGTTTAAGTGTGAAGAGGGCCAGGGCTATGAACTGAACCAAATAATCGTCAAGATAGTTTAGTTCAAAACACCATGCAGATGTGGAGCACTCCTTTTTACTATTGATTTATGCTAACTTTTTGTTCAAATTTTTGCACGAAATTTGTGATTTTGTCGCAGATCTTTTCCTGGCGTGCGATGTCGGTCATGGGCAGAATTCCGTTTGACCCCTTAAGAGCAGTGCTAGGAATGTAAAAGTATGTACTTCTGCGATATTTCATTGGTTGTGACTGTGTATTGTGTTCCACTAATGTTTTAGCATCGACAAATAGGCAACGAAGACACTTATCTTGTATCGAAGTTTCTAAACTCGCAAACGCCCGCCAAGTCTAGCCCACGGCCCGGCATAAGACCAGCAGGTGAAGGCTGGTCCAGATGACAAGGGTTGGCAGGAAGGAAAGCTACGTCTGTAGAAGAAACCCTTCACTGCCGGCCAACTATTGGCCCCGGCTTACATTTATTAGTATCGGCTGAGACCCAGAAACGTTTCGCTAGTGCCGACACAACACAGAGCGGAGTTGCACTGGCCAGTGTCAGAGATTTTCGTATCTAACCAAAAGACTCGGTAAGAGTAACGTTACTCTGATACAGAGGGTTGTAGATATTCAGAGTCAAGATCACATTACTCCTGCCGAATCTTTTTGCTGGGACGAGAATCACTAACACTGATCAATGCGTTTTTTTGTGTTGTCTCTGTGCAATGGCTTGCAATGCACCTCCTCAACGCAGACATGCGTCCTCCGGTACCGGTTACAAGCATCGACAGCGCAGGCCGCGCAGGCACCGCTCCGTTACCTCCCATGTTGATTCATTGTCGACTGCCGGTGCGGTGTACTAGAGGACTTCATGGTTTAGGTAAACCCATGGATGTCCACACGTGATGGGATTTTCCCGAACGGGTTTGGGTGCCCAACGGGTGCCCAACGGGTTTGGTTGGGCACATAATTCGGGAAAATTATGACTTTGGGCAAGGATATGGATAACCCGCTTTTCTCAATGGTGAGCGGATATTCAAGCGATATTAGACAACGTAGCATGACGATGCTTGCGTTTCTTGCAGTCACATTACGCTATATGATACTGATTCTGTGAATGTCAACGCGTAAGAGTTTGTTTGGGTGTAAACTTCATCGCAACTCTTCCATGATTTGGAATAAAATGCTGATAAAGGCAAATGGTTAGGTAACGAGTGCATACAACTGCCACATATGCGGTGAATGAAGTGGGTAAAGGAAATCTTACCCCGAAAGGCCCTTGCACCGCATCGTGGTACTGATTCAGTGCTGGCTGTTAGTATTGTGGTATTGGTTCAGCGCCGGCTACTGGTATCGTGATATTGATTCAGTGCCGGCTGCTGGTATCGTGGTATTGATTCAGTGCCGGCCGCCAGTATTGCGGTGTTGATTCAGCGCCGGCTGCTGGTATCGTGGTATTGATTCAACGCCGGCTGCTGGTATTGTGGTACTGACTCAACGCCGGCTGCTGGTATCGTAGTACTAATTCAGTGCCGGCTGCTAGTATCGTGGTATTGATTCAACGCCGGCTGCTGGCATCGTGACACTAAATTCCCACATATTTAGCTCAGATGTGAACGTGAAGGAGTAGTAGCCAGGGGAGGGTTGGTGGGCAGTAAACCAAGCTGGCGTATACTCGGAAACGTTAGTCCGCGCGTTCCTCGATTCGCACATTCCGTAGTTTGAGAGAAAAACTTCAAGCCTCCAACACGGACTCCAACATACAAGAAGCTGCATACTGAGTCCTATAGCCCAACTGGTTGATCAAGTGCTCGGAACCGGAAAGGTTGAACAACTTTAAAATGAAACAGCTTAACGTTGATTATGGTAAGCAGTAGCTAATTCTGCTAGGCAGTTGCTAGGCAGCTGATATCTTAAGCAGTAGCTGATTATTCCAGGCAGCACCAAGAGCGATAACTTAACGCCCAACAAGTAACTCACAGCCTTGTGCTTTGCGTGATTTCTAAGAAGTCCCTCAAACAGCCGACACGTTCAGTGCAGTCCAGATGGTGACATCGTCGGCTAAGGTGACCAACCCGACACCCTAGCGGGGGAGGGGGGGGGGGCAGGTCGCCTGACCACACCGGACGCCCCCGGCGGCTACACTCGGTGACCGGCCGCTTCGCGTTACATCCGGCCAAGGCGGCGGTGGCGGCGTGTCCGGCGCGGCGACGGCCAGTGCGGCGCGCCCGGCCGGCCGGCCTCCCCGCGCCGATGGAGGGCGGCGGCGGCGAGGGCGCGGCCGGACTGCCGGCGCGTCACCCGCTCTGCGCCCGCTGCCGCAACCACGGCCGCCGCAGCCTGCTCAAGGGCCACAAGCGACTGTGCCCGTTCGGCGAGTGCGAGTGCGCGCCGTGCGGTCTGATCGCGGCGCGGCGGCAGGTGATGGCCGCCCAGGTGGCGCTGCGGCGGCGGCAGGGGGCGCCGCGGCCGTCGCCGGCCGGCCGCGGCCGCCAGCCCCTCTGCGCCCGCTGCCGCAACCACGGTCGCTGCGAGCCGCTGCGGGGGGCACAAGCGGCTCTGCCCGCACGCCGGCTGCCGGTGCCCGCCCTGCCAGCTGATCGAGCAGCGACAGCGCGTGACCGCCGCCCAGGTGGCGCTGCGGCGCCGCCAGAGCATGCGGTCGCAGCAGGACTCCGGAGGAAGCTGGGGCCGCGCCCGGCCGTGGCCTGCGTCAGCGGGTTGCGCGCCACCTAGGGAGCACCAGTGCAGCCCACAGCTCCTGCCAACCGGTAAGGCGATTTCAGCCCAGTTATCTGTGACCGGCATTTTGAAATATGATTGCATTGAATATGAAATATGAAACACGTGTTAAGAGTGAATATAAAATACTCATGACGCTGCCAGGAACAAACGAGTTATATACAGGGCAAATCATATGCTATACTCGGTTGCCAGTACACTGGACGGCCGTGGGAACCAAACATTGCCAGTGTTGTACGCGAAGAGTAGCTCACGGTGCACGTATCCGTTCCTTACCTGGTTTATGGGATATATATGAGTATTCTGTACGGAATACATTTATGAGATGCGCGTGGCTTCATGTTCACAGTTTAAGCAAAGTTCAGGCAGACCGGAAAAAATCAGAAAGTTGAGAACATTCGATGCTGTTCTATAACACAAGAAACTGTACATGTTTCGCTGCGCAAAGTTAATGTTTTAATGCATTTTTAGTAATGCACCCCTCCCCATTGTGAGATCATAGATATGGCCCTCGATATTACTGAATGTCAAGGCGCACGTGAGAGAAAATATACTATCCAATACATAACTACGTGTCCAGTTCGTTACTTTTGTTCGGTTCTTCAAAATATAGCTCAAAACCTTCACAGCCTGTGGAGGCGTTATACACATAATGATCGTTCCATTATATTCTGCACATCTATATGCAACACACTCCAGCTTAAATTGTAGCATTTAAACATCTTGGAATTTTGCTCTCCCTTCAGACTAGGACTTGATGGCCATTCGCTTTGACAATTTGGCTTAACCTCGTTTCGAAAAAGATTCTTATTTTCCCTATGGGTCACATCCTTGGGACAAGGCCAATTCTCCGACAAACGTCACACACCGCGACACCCGTTAGCACGTGGTCATTAGTTTTACATCACCTATGTGAACAGACACGCAGACAGTTTGGCACACGCTTCTGTTCCTCTTGACGGCGACATGGCAGCTCAAACAGTATACTTATGTCTGGAGTACAACGAGAATACACCACGGCGTGCATAGTTGCAGTCAAGGGTGAAATTTCGCAAAATAAGTATGGGAGGAAGGGGGGGGGGAGGCGCTGAGCAGTAAACACTGATGCAACTTCTCCCCCAAAAATGCCCCAAAACGAGTTTCTTCCTGTAGCCTAATTTTTCTCAAAGTTGGTGGAAAAGGGTCGGATCCCTAGTTGGGGTGGGGAGGGATGGGGCAGGGCATGAAACCCCAACATAGATGGGAAAATACACCCCTACTTCATTTGATACGGCGGATCTAGTGACATGATTTCGTGCTCCGCAGCAAAGTGGTAGGTCGCCGGGCAGTGTGGACATTGACCGGGTCTCTTGGCACCAATGACGCAATTCACAGCTCAGTACAGAAAACGGAATAAACAGCCATCCAAAGCCACAGTCATGTAAAATTATGCTCACATCAGCCCAATCGTCTGTAAATCAAAGCATACCACTGAGCTGCGGGATGTCAAATAACAGGAAACATGTACGCCAGAGGCGTCGGGGTGGCCTGCTGACCAGGTCAGCACGTGAGCCCAACCTGCAAGACGACACTGAGCTGAGCTGGTCTGTTTAACACCCCCGGCTGCCCGGCTCTGCAAACATTTCAGAGAGGAGCTGTTTGCAAACGTGAACGACGGATACACGCCAACTGCGACGATGACTAATCAGTTGCTTTCGCTATGATTTCCGTTTTTTTTTTTTGTTGTTGCTGTCCTTGGCAGGCTGTTTGTAATGCTTTGCACGTTTGTCAATGGTCCATGCTTTGCTCTCGTACTTGTAGGACAGTGCCGCGACCTGTTCTGGGATTTTGTGCCCCACTGACACATAGTCTGTGCTGCTGCTAGAGAAAGTACGCATGACGTTAAGTAGCATCACGCAAGGCAATTCGCAGTTTCTGTATATACCATCGTGGAGGGCACTTGTTGGACGCAGCCTTCCACTGCTTCGATGTATCAGAACTATTACTATTGAGGCTGCATGCATATATGCAGAAGGATTGCAGAGACAGCACAAAACAGCACAAAGGTGATTAAGTCTGCCTCACAATATGCTATCGAAGTGCACTCTTTCACCTGCACCGGTTTTTCCTTACAGTGTGGTTAAAAACCAATCGCTTTCCATCATATTTTGTTGGCATTTGACGGGTTTTTAGAGGCAAAACAGAACGCTATCGGCCATGTTTCTGCAGCAGATATTCGTTGTATCTTGCAATGCAGCATGCAAACGATCTTCTAGGTGATAGGTGATTTTTAGAAACGATCCGACTATATCTTGGTTGCTCAGCTGTGCGGTGTTGACTCAACGGACATTAAACGTGTAGTATAGAAGTCCTGATTTAACCTACTGATCTTAGACGGAAGCATTGCTAGGACCAGGCAAGTGCGGCAGTATTGTGCCTCGCATTGCTGCTGTCCATTCCCAGCATGCCGCGCTCGTAGACTGCTGAGAGAATAAGATATTTAAAGGTCACGTGACCGATTCTCAGACCCGCCCCGTTCATATGCATGATTAATGTGCAGGCTCTCTGTTTCGCACAGCTGAACATGTACAGGGGCTCGTATGAGGTTGGCACGGGTCTGAGGAGCCGGGGAGCAATCGCATGGCGGGCATACACTCCGCTAGCCCGGCCTGTGTAGCGCACAAAGGTCACATTCGTGCGCATACGTACATCCATCGGCAATGCTACCAGGAGTGCTGACAAAATCCTTGGCATTTTATACATGCTGTGATGCATGCAATGGTCTTAGATGTACCGTTGCGTATATACACGTCGTGTATACACTGCGTACATATAGCGTGCAACTTTTGTGATTCAAATAATGACCGTAAACTTGTGTGAATTTGGTGTGTTTGGGGGCAACACGAACTCGCAAAACAACCCCAAAATCAGAACACGCTTGAGCTCTTCGAAAATACCCCCCCCCCCCTCCCCACCCCTACCGGGCTCCCACCATAACACACTTCATGGAGTTAGGTCTGTTGTTTATATTGATGCGTTTCTGCAGCATGGGCTCCCGTCGCTATCTTGTTTATTCCCTGAGCAGGTGCACATCATACAGCAGGGGCAATTCCAACCTCTTGTGCGGAGGTTGGGCGTTGTGGACGGCAGTTTCGCTGGCGTTTCCCGCTGTTTCAGGGCTGATGCCGCCTACGCCGCTGGCGGCACTTCTGCTACTGCAGCGCCTCTATCGACCGCCTGACATACTAGCAGTTCTCTTCTACGCCGCCCTGCGTGTCAACGGGCACTGCGTGTTCTCGGCGTACAGGATGATCATCCGAGGTAGGGGCAGGGACACGGGCGTGCATGATCATTAGAGGGAGGGGCAGGGACATGAGCATGCGTGATCATCCGAGGTAGGGTGAGGGGCACGAAGATGCATGATCATCCGAGTTTAGGACAGGTACACGAGCATGCAAGCTTTTTACAGTTTTTTTTAGTCTGCTGCGTAAAGCACCAACGTGCTTTCGAGAACGTGCGTTTGCATTAGTTTCCACTTTCTCTATGTGCAGAGCTTATTGTCCGTTGTGGCGCAGGATTTGATGCTTGAGTTTCTGCCTCTTGCTGAAAACCACATCGAATCATTTGACGAGGTAACTAGTCACCCACGAGCTATCCCTCTTAGAACGCGAGTAGCGACACCATAAACAATATATGACGACCTTAAAAGCTAAAATATTATCATTCAAAGACGAAACAGGTGTAGAGCTTACCAGTTCGCTACGCAAGCATGCCACCGAAAGGGCAACACAAAACATCCCATTGGTGCGTTCACTGAGGGGGTACATTGGATCACGTTCGCTGACGGCTGACCAAATACATGCATGTTCCCATACTTCACGGACAAACAAATAATATTTCATTACTAGGCGAAAAAACGCAACAGCGTCGGGCGGTGATAAAGCCAGTTTTCTGGATTCAACCCCTGCGTTGTACCACTGACAGTGTGCTCCACGCCGCCAGCTGAGCTGGAGCTGCGTCAGCTGATGGCCGGCCGGCCATGGCTAGAGAGGTGCGCCGACAAAGCCACCACGAACGGCTGCCGGCCAGGCTACGGCTGACGTCTGGCCACCGCAGCACGAAAGCGAGAGGATGGCCTACACGCACGTGGGAAGATGGCCTATACACACGTGGGTAGATGGCCTGCACGCACTCGGGTAGATGGCCTACACGCACGGGGGAAGATGGCCTGTGCGCACGTGGGTAGATGGTCTATGCGCTCATGAGAAGATGGCCTACACGCACACGGGAAGATAACCTACACGCATGTGAGGAGATGACCTACACGCACACGGAAAGATGGCCTATACGCACGAGATGGCCTATACTCACATGGGGAGATGGCCTACACACATGTGGGTAGATGGCCTACACGCACGTGTTTAGATGGCATACAGAGATGGGCGCCGTGCAGAGCCGATCGAGCTGAGCGATGGCCGCTCACAGAGGTCGCTTGAGGTGGGACAAACTTCCGTGAGCACCCCAGGCACAGCTAATAGCACCTTATGTCAACGGCACTTGTAACAGTGCCACATGAAACGGCCTTAGCCCCCGCTGTTGTGAGCTGTCACTGGGTGCTTATGATGACATGGAGCTGCTTTCATCCTTGTCTTAGTTCTGTTGAGACATGTACCACATCTGAATAGAAACGCTGAAATGTTGCTGATTTTTGCGATCGACCCTTACGCCAAAGTGACGGAAGGCACGCGTGCAACCGCAAACAACATCCATTTCCAAGTCGTTCACAAATCCGGCATTGACACCAGAGTCCCAAATATGCAAAAGTGAGTCTTGCGCAGTTCAATACTATTTCACCCATTTAAAAAATGACCTGTTAAGTGAAGATGGCAAAGCGCGTTGCTGAATTTGTTGTAGGAATTAAGCAACGTATACGTTACCTCTCACTCACAATAACGACACGAGTGTGCCAGAACTTACATAAATATGTTTCGTGAGCGTCCTTTCCGAAGAAGACTTCTACTTTTTTAGCGCTGCCAGCATCTTTCCAGAAGCAAACGATAATTTGTGTACGCTCTCGACTGTGACGTTCGCGAAATATCCTTAATAGGTTTTCACACTTCTTTAGTTATTTTGAGCATTAGATTACCAACACACTTTCTGAAGTCGGTGCTGAATAGGGCTAGTTTAGTAATTGTTGGAAGTGAGCGGCTGAGACTTCCGCCGAGATGTGCTGTACATGCACAATTTTATGTTGCCGATCACTCGAGCTCTGCGATATCAGGATCGACCGTCAGAAACTCGGCTGTTCGGCTTGGTGTTTAGAAATCCGCGTCGACAACGCGTAAAACAATACGATAGCGCCTAGGATACGGGCACATGTCTGTGACCGCTGCGAACACAGAACAGTGGCATAGCCACACGAGTACTGAGTACTGAGCAGCCATCTGTACAATGTTCAGTTCTCTCGTGCATGCCATTGCCGGACGACTTTGAAACACACTGTTCCAGTGGTGGCCATAACCGCGCATTACAAGCGGCTGTGACCACGACCGTCCAGCTTCGGTCGGCTGGAGAGAGGGGAGCGTCCCGCGCCACAGCTGACGTCACCAGCAGCGGTCAATCGCGCGTGCCCTACATGATGAGCCAGGCGGTGGTCGGTGCCACCAGCTTTGTCAGCGGGGAGAGCACCGCTCGAGGCCGCTGGCCGGCGGCGGCGCGCGGAGCACCGCCGACTGGAGCACGCCGGCCGGCGTCAGCGGCGCGGATGGGCGCCGGAGGACGGCCGCGGGGAGGGGATGGGCGCCGGAGGACGGCCGCGGGGAGAGGATGGGCGCCGGAGGACGGCCGTGGGGAGAGGATGGGCGCCGGAGGACGGCCGCGGGGAGAGGATGGGCGCCGGAGAGCGGCCTCAGCGAGAGCCCTCGCCCGAGAGCGGCGTTTAGGGGCTGGGCGGTGGGCCGGCGGGGCCGCCCTGACCGACCTCGCAGAGGCCCGGTGACCTCACAGCGGCGCGGTGGCGCATCCGGAGAGGTCACACCCAGACGATTCCCGTGTAGATGTCTCACGGTCAGCGCGAGGGAGGGCGGGCGCTGGTGGTCTCTTGAGAGGATGGCGAATCGCATGGTGTACGTGTTCGGGAAAAATATATCCAGGCATATCAGGGAGATGATGTGTGTGATCGCTCAAGCGTTGGTGACGTCATACATTGGAAGCCGGAGCGGATAGAGGTGGGAATCAGCTGTACGACGCTGGAAGCACCTCGCCCTGCAGGCGTCGTAACACGCGTTCGCCACTTGCGTCCTTCCATGCTTCTTCGCGGTTCTCAGCTGTTATCACGCGTCACCATCATCGCCACCCTCATCGTTACGCACTGTGCACTGTCTCTCCTGTTCCCGTAGGGTTACGCCAGTTCGTTCCAGTCGCGGCTAACCCATCTGATCTTGATCTGCCCCACCACTGTTTGCTGTAATAAAATGCAGGAACTAGCGAATACCTGCCAGTCTTAACGAATTTGAATGGACAGGCCAGTTTGATCAAATTTGGCGGTTTTCGTGCAAGATACGGCCGTTTGGTAAGTCAGTCGCATTATGCGTTGCAATAATGACGGTGTATGTAGTGCACAATACAAACCTGATGTTGTTTTGGTCCCATTAATTTCTATATATATATATATATATATATATATATATATATATATATATATATATATATAGATATACATAAATGATAGTTCTAGCTATTATTACCATATATATGGCTGTTACTCATAATTCAACATAGTAGGCACAACAGCATTTTCAATAATCCATACAATAGTAATTGATCTGCTTGCATATTTGACGCAGAAATGACAATAATGGTTAATCTACCCTAACGTTTCCAATGTTGTCCTTGATAACAGAACCTTCCAGGTGCGCAATGGAACATTATCGGATACGTTCGAACAGGAAAACGGCTTAGTCCAAGGAGGAGTTATATCCCCGATATTGTTTAACATCATGATTGATGACGTGTGTGGAAATGTCCCGAGTGAAGTGTCCCGAGCGCTGTACGCTGACGATTGCTCTCTATGGGTGCAGGGAAGGAGAATTTTTCATCTAGTTAATAAAATGCAGGGGGCGTTGAACCATGTGAGTGCATGGGCTGATCGGTGGGGTTTCCTTTTCTCACCTCACAAATGCAACGCAATTGTATTTCGAAGGTATATGAAGGCAAGAGAGATGACGAACATACCTAACTTACATATATATAACCAGCCGTTAACATACACCGACACCGTCAAGTTTTTGGGAGTGATGCTGGACTCTAGGCTGAACTTAAACACGATGATGCAGTACATTAAAACAAAAGCTGTCAAAAGGATATCAATATTAAAATGTTTATCTGGAAAAGGCTGTGGCGCAGATCGTTCTACACTATTGAGAATATACAAAGCCATGATAAGACCGATATTAGAGTACGCATGCCAAGTTTTTGATGGTCCCCGTAACAAGGCAGTGGAAATGATTGATGTTATTCAAAATGAATGCATTAGAATTGCTACTGGAGCCTTTAGAACTTCGCCCATTTTACCATTGATGGTTGAAGCAGACATACTTCCCTTGAGACTGAGGAGATGCGACTTGTCTCTCCGTTATTCCCTGAAGATACTAAGTCGAGAGGATCATCCATGCAGAAAACTTATGGCCAATGAGGCTGCGTTACATGAGGTAGAGACTGGATATATGAAAAGGATTTCTGGTTTCCCGCTATATGAGAGAATACTTGATATGTGCCATGAAACAGGATTCGATTTCCCAGAAGAGGTGACCTTAAAACGCAGCGTCGTTCCGCCATGGAGATTACGTAAATGTACGTTGATAAAGTTAACTAACAGGAGCAAGAGAACGCTAGATGAAGTGCAAATTCAATGTGAGTTTAATGATTTGAGAAGCAGGTATACAGAATACGAGTTCATATTTACCGATGGAGCAAAAAGTGCAGACGGAGTTGGATGTGCTTTTGTCCACGGTGAAAGACGTCAAAAATTTAAACTTCCTGAACTTTGTTCGATATTTATAGCTGAAGGATTCGCAGTATTACAGGCTCTGAATTATACACATACAAATCGCATCCTCAAATGTGTTATATGCACAGACTCCTTGTCCATTATAACAGCCCTGGGAAATCCGACTTCTGAAAACCCGATCGTGATCCATTTACTAGAGACGGTCAGTCAGCTTATTGAAATGGGCAGTATAATCATTGTCCTCTGGATCCCAAGCCATAGTAATATACGTGGAAACGAGACAGCGGATGCACAAGCAAAGATGGCTATAAGATTGAATGACGTGTGTAATTTTCAAATGGGTCCTAAAGATTATTTTCCTAAAGTGCGTCGAAGTATTCGTGAATTATTCAACAAATATTGGACAGATTACAACCCTAGGACTAATTTAAAACGCATCAAAGAAGAGGTAGGAGACTGGGTCTCCTGTAAGCGAGCAGTCCGACGCGAAGAGATAGTGCTGTGCCGGCTGAGACTTGGGCATACTCGCTATACCCACGCATACATGATAGATAGAAACCTCCAGCCTGAATGTGAACGATGTCAGTGTCCATTAACAGTGTATCACATTCTTCTTGAATGCCCCGTATATTTTCACGAAAGACGATCATTGGTAACACTATGTCAACGGTCCGGAACACAATTTTGTGTGAGGTCGCTGGTAGGAAATCAATTCCCGGACATCATTGATGGAGTGATGAAATATTTGCGACACTGCGACCTACTGAAACAATTGTGAAGTGCTGCCTTTGCGTGCGGGACAAGTGCAATTTTTGCTTTGCTGTCATTGATTGCTGCCATGCTGTTTATACTATATTGTAATTGTTTGAAATGAGTTGTTTATTCTATGTATAATTTAAGATTGCGTGCATATCTGCGTACGATGTCTGACTGGATGCTTGAGAAATGTGATAAGCAAGGAAGTGGTATAGGAATTATGTGTAGCAAATATGTGTATATGTGTGATACGTGGGTGTGTGCGTAAGCAGAGGAGATAACATGAATGAGGTTTGAACGAGCATGGTGAAGACAGATGAATGTGCGTGCATGCGTTAGAGTACACGGCATGGCAGATATGTGAAATTTCCATCTGGTAAATGCTTTGTTAAACGACAATGTTGTGACTGCCGACTGACTGATGACTAACCTGCAACGTCTATCATGTGGGGAAGCTGCGGTTAAAAGAAAATGATAAAAAAGAGCCTGGCAAAAAAAAAAACCGGACTTTTTGTTCTCTTGTTTTAGTTCACTAATCAGTTTATGTATCTGAACATTTAACACCGAGTTTTCTAGAAACTAACACCGTTTACTGCACCTCCTTGCTACACCACTATCCTGCACGAAAATTCCTGACCAGCGCGACACTTTCCTTCTATCCTCTGTCGCGCTTAGTTACCACCTGTGCTACCAAACTTGCAAGACAACACTTCAACGATGGACGCCTGAGCCCAAGAGGCTATGCGCCCTTAACCAACAACAACAACATTCCAATGTTGTCAGCAGGGTAAGGAGTCAGGCTTAGCGAAGGCCGAGGCCATTGAACGGGTATCGGCGTAGGAAGGGGTAAGCCGTGGACACGAGTATATGGTGCATGGTGCGTGCGGTTGGATTTATTTTTACTGTAGGTGTGAGTCCAGAGGCCAAACTGCCAAGATGCGCGTTATCCCGAGCACGCCCGGTGCAGCAGCTACATTGTGGCAACAATTTGGTCCCTTACACAAGTCAGGGCATACAGAGTTCGGTGCTCGGTTGCCACTAATTTCAGGCCATAGATAGGCGATGTTGTAAGGAATTTGGCCTGGCACACATCTAGCGTAATTGTGGGTCAGGTTTGGCACGTGAGCTACATGCCAATGCATCAGTCAGCACACCGATGAGGTATGGACGTACAGCTCAGTGGACGGATTTGTTGGCAGGCTGGCATGTAGTTAAATTGCTTTGAAGTACTGAGGACAAAAAAATTGCATTTGTCTAAATGCATCCCTTTTGCATTCTTTTCATGTGATACACAGTTACCTCACATGAGACAACTGGCAATTGTGATTTTGCTATTTCCACATTCATCCATTGGGTCATGGCATACATTGCTACCTTGTGTTAAAAAAGAGCATTGTACATCAAGAGCTTCATCACAGTCAAAAGACTTGAACATGTTGATGATTATCTAGTATAGTATAAGGATATATGATGGGTAGAGCAGATAGGTGGAGTAGTACACTCAGGTTTGACCAGAATTTCATAGACTGAGAACAAAACCACAAAGCACACAGCACATTTTCTGTGTGGTTCTGGCGATGCTGACGTTGCTCTGTTTCCTTGGTTCCAAAGAGGTGGAGGACAAGCTTTGTTCATATAATTCTGTGCAGATAAGCTTTTATTGATTTTATGTTGTGCTTTCCACCTTGATAATATGCGGTCAGTGGCCTAAAACTCAGAATGTGCTGCAATTGTACAGTGATGTTACTAAATCTGTCAATTGTCTTATTATCTAGTTAAAGGTATGCATGCCTCCCTTCTGTCAGAAAACAATTTCATATGCAATGCATTCTTAGGCATGCATAATGTGAGTCATAGTACAGAAAGCATGACAATGGAATCTGACTGTAAAAGAAGGTTTATCATACTTTAAAGTTTGCAAATTTATGCTCTGACACAAGTTTCATTGTTCAGTAAATACTGATATTAAGGGCAGAGTAGAGCGTGGGATATTAATTTGTGTCGGACACCAAAATGTCGGGTAGAGTATTCTTCAGTTGGTAATGTGACTATGGTTATGATCTGAAAAATATCAGCAATAAATATGATTTAAGCATCATTGCACACACAGGTAGGGTGCTTATATTATATATACTAGCAGTGTCCCTCCCATATTTTTGCAATGTGCATATTATCCTTAAACCACATATTTAGCCATTTTGTCAACCAACTAATGATTAATGTCAAGTAATGGTCAACTGATGTTTTGCTATTAACTGATGTTGATATCTCTGTACTTCCATGTACTTAGTGGTCATTGCATCAGTGTTTTAGTGTGTTTGGAATTGTGCACATAATGTTTACATCATATTCATATCATTAGTCACATCATGATTAGGCCATTTTGGAAGTACTACTTTATAACCTGTGTTCTGTAATTATTGCCTTTTGGCAATGTTATTTGCTTTAGAAAAAGATATGGGCATGAACAGCTTTGTTTAACAAGAAGGTGGGCATGGACACCCCAGCCTGATCATGCACATTTTGATTGTGGTGAATCATGTTTAAGTGTGCAATCTGAGGCACCTTCCATTGAGCATATAACAATTTGTTCCTCATTTTCTACACAAATGCATAGCATCATCTGTTGATAGTGGGTAGATATTTTGCACATGGGGTTTGAATAAAAACAGCATGCAATTTGCACAAGTTGATCCGGGCCATATACAAATGACAGTGATTCCATGCAGTTTTCAGGATGGAACCCCTGGAAAAGCTGGATGAAGATTTTGATTTGGACAGTGATCAGGATTGTGATCTGAGGCCAATTGATAGTGATGACAGGTATGCTGGCCTTCTGTATCTGTTTTCTATCCAGTACATGTTTCACACCTTCCAAACAGCACAGGCAAAACTTCCAATGTGTGTAATAGTTTTTGCATGTTGTGTTTGCTTTGTAGTTCTGTTATATTAAGTTATTTTTGGTTTGTATTTACATTCCGTTATTGCATCCTGTAAGTCATAAGCTCATCCCAAATGTCTGCTCATTTTCAGCAGTAGGTTATGGTTAATATTTTGCTTATTCTTAGCCTGTAACTGCACTATGTATTTTGAAGCACACAAGTGTTGAACAGGCCTAGCAAAATGCATTGCACAGATTGCATTATTTTGTACTGCTCACAATTTCTGCACTTGTCACAGCCTTTATGGTTTCATCTTTTGGCATGATTATGCAGGTAGACATACATGGTAGATGTAGTTAATTTACATACTACACTGATGATGACTTAACAGTGACAAGGAAGTGCTCGCAAGATTTGTGGCCAGTTTTTGAACAACAGAAGCGTGACCATGATTATGTTTGTAGTGATGACGAATTCTCGCCGGATCTTATTCAACGCCTCCGGAGATTTGGAACACAACTTCCGCCGAAGAAACGCAAGCGTGAAAAGAAAGGTCAGTGGTTGTTCCCGATAGTCCCTAGTCGCTTTGCCTCCTATCAGGCATTGTGCACTTTTTCACTTCGAGCTTTTCCATTCATGCCGGAAGACGTCCTCCTACGATACGTTTCATGCAGTTACAACATTAGATAAGTGATGAATGCAGTCAGTGCTGTGACTTTATTCCAAAGGCTTCTCACTATGTCTGTTTTGCTGTTATCCTTGCGACCCACTACGCGGCTGTTGTCTACGATCCGCTGTGGGGCTGTCGTTTATGACACGCTGTGGGCTGTCGTCTATGACACGCTGTGGGGCTGTCATTTATGACGCGCTATGGGGCTGTTGTCTATGACGCGCTGTAGGGCTGTCATCTGTGACACACTGGGGCTGTCGTCTATAACACGCTGTGAGGCTGTCGTCTATAACACGCTGTGGGGCTCTTGTCTATGAGACGCTGTGGGGCTGTCGTCTATGACACGCTGTGGGGCTGTCGTCTGTGATACACTGTGGGGCTGCCGTCTGTGACACGCTGTGGGGCTGTCGTCTATGACACGCTGTGGGGCTGTCGTCTATGACACGTTGTGGGGCTGTCATGCTGTGGGGCTGTCGCCTATGACGCGCTGTGGGGCTGTCGTCTATGACACGTTGTGGAGCTGTCGTTTGTGACACGCTGTGGGGCTGTCGTCTGTGACACGGTTTGGGGCTTTCGTCTGTGACACGCTGTGGGGCTGTCGTCTGTGGCACGCTGTCGGGTTTGAGGCTGTCGTCTGTGACACGCTGTGGGGTGTGGGGCCGTCGTCTGTGACACGCTGTTGGGCTCCCGCTACGCCGGACCTGCTATGCCACCGCACTATAAGCGCCACCTCCGCCCGGTGTCCCCCGACAGAGGCTGAGGATGACTTTGAGAGGGAGGTAAACGCCGAGCTGGCCGTCTCGCTGGCGGCTCACTGCCGGCGGATAGCGGGCGGGGCGTCCGGCGCGCTGCCGCCCGCGCCACCGCCTCCCCTGGCCGCGCCGCCGTCCGGCACCGGCGCCGCCGCCGCACCCGCCGGCGCTGGCGAAGAACAGCTGTACTACGACGACGTGTACTTCGACTCGGACGACGACTCAGCGCCCGAGGACGGCCCGGCCGCCGCCGACTCTGTCGCTCCGGCTGGCGCTCCCGCCGACTCTGCGACTCCTGCCTCCGCAGGTTCTGCGGCTCTCGCGGCAGGAGCTGCCGCTTCTACTGAAGGTGTGCTACTGCTACTTGGTGTTGGTCATGCACAGAAACACTATTTTTCATGGTTTAACCTTGCCGCATATTCATGAGACTGTATCAATAGCCTTGTTCCTTGAAGCATGAACAGAAAATTTTAATGTACGGCTAAAAACGAAACAGCAGGAGTTTACAATTAACATTCTTTTCGATAACGGCAAGTAGCCGAAATATCACGCCTATCTCCCCATCGTCCTGTTTGTTCCACGAGGAATAAGACTACTAACACTGCCATCTATATGCATAATGTTACTTGCAAATGCGCTAACGACTTGTCGTATGCTCGAAGAACATAGAACAAGTTTTTTGGTCCCAAGGGGTGGTCCGTTTTTGTCACGTATTATTTTGCGATATCATGAACTACAGTAAATGTTATATCAGCATGAATGTGTTGAAACAGCTTTACATCCTTCTGCTGTAACTAAAGTTGATCTAGTTAGGCAAAGGGTAACCTACCGGGCAGCATGGTGGCACCAACAATACGAATGTCAATGTTCAAATGCAGCCAGCATGGTTGCATACACCGTCACCCATGTTGATCAAGGTGGTAAAGACCCGTGTGAACGCCGGTACTTAAAGATCACAGAGTTAAGTAATTTTTAGTCAACCTAGCTTAAGGGTTTGGCGTTGCAGCACCTCAACATTGAGGTTAGTAGATACTGCTGTGACCAGGACATTACTATGCCAGTCGGACGGTGACCTCACGGCAATGTTTGCGTGGGTTAGATTATCGCAGCAGAGGCCGCTATTTTCAAGTCAAATTGTCCGTGACTCGCCGAGCTCTTTTCTGTTCACGCGGGAGCGTGCAGCAAGCCGTGTCACGTACCATACTGAGCCGCGTGTTCCTTCAGCGGCGGGCGGCAGCGGCGGCACCCCGGTAGCAGACCCCAACAGCAGGCGGTCGGAGCGCCGCCGCCGCCGCCGCCCCGTGCTCACCAACGACCAGCTGCTGTACGACCCGGCCATGGACGACGAGGACCAGCAGTGGGTGGACCGCCAGCGGCAGCGCTACCTGCCCGCCCGGCCCAGGTACGTGGCCCTCTCTCTCTCTCTCTCTCTCTCTCTCTCTCTCTCTCTCTCTCTCTCTCTCTCTCTCTCCTCTCTCTCTCTCTCTCTCTCTCTCTCTCTCTCTCTCTCTCTCTCTCTCTCTCTCTCTCTCTCTCTCTCTTCTCTCTCTCTCTCTCTCTCTCTCTCTCTCTCTCTCTCTCTCTCTCTCTCTCTCTCTTCTCTCTCTCTCTCTCCTCTCTCTCTCTCTCTCTCTCTCTCTCTCTCTCCTCTCTCTCTCTCTCTCTCTCTCTCTCTCTCTCTCTCTCTCTCTCTCTCTCCTCTCTCTCTCTCTCTCTCTCCTCTTCTCTCTCTCTCTCTCTCTCTCTCTCTCTCTCTTCCTCTCTCTCTCTCTCTCCCTCTCTCTCTCTCTCTCTCTCTCTCTCTCTCTCTCTCTCTCTTCTCTCTCTCTCCTCTCTTCTCTCTCTCTCTCTTCGCTCTCTCTCTCTCTCTCTCTCTCTCTCTCTCTCTCTCTCTCTCTCTCTCTCTCTCTCTCTCTCTCTCTCTCTCTCTTCTCTCTCTCTCTCTCTCTCTCTCTCTCCTCTCTCTCTCTCTCTCTCTCTCTCTCTCTCTCTCTCTCTCTCTCTCTCTCTCTCTCTCTCTCTCTCTCTTCTCTCTCTCTCTCTCTCTCTCTCTCTCTCTCTCTCTCTCTCTCTCTCTCTCTACTCTCTCTCTCTCTCGCCTCGCTCTCTCTCTCTCTCTCTCTCTCTCTCTCTCTCTCTCTCTCTCTCTCTCTCTCTCTCTCTCTCTCTCTCTCTCTCTCTCTCTCTCCTCTCTCTCTCTCTCTCTCTCTCTCTCTCTCTTCTCTCTCTCTCTCTCTCTCTCTCTCTCTCTCTCTCTCTCTCTCTCTCTCTCTCTCTCTCTCTCTCTCTCTCTCTCTCTCTCTCTCTCTCTCTCTCTCTCTCTCTCTCTCTCTCTCTCTCTCTCTCTCTCTCTCTCCTCTCTCTCTCTCTCTCTCTCTCTCTCTCTCTCTCTCTCTCTCTCTCTCTCTCTCTCTCTCTCTCTCTCTCTCTCTCTCTCTCTCTCTCTCTCTCTCTCTCTTCCTCTCTCTCTCTCTCTCTCTCTCTCTCTCTCTCTCTCTCTCTCCTCTCTCTCTCTCTCTCTCTCTCTCTCTCTCTCCACTCGCTCACCCACTCGCTCACCCACTCGCTCACTCGCTCACTCACTCACTCACCACTTTCCTCTCCCCCTCTCATTCATCTTATCCCATCCCATCCCATCCCATCCCATCTCCATCATCTCTCTCATCTCTTCCACTCCGTGCTCCTCGCCCGGGGAGTGTGTGAAGCGTCGACTGGACTCGCCGGGCCGTGCACTGCCTGTGCTCCCTCTGAATGTCTCGCGAGGACAACCGCACCATCCTCGTGCCGGTGCCCAGTGTGGAGCCTGTTCAGGGGAGTGTGCGCAGACAGGCGGCCCGGACAGCTGAGGGGTTCCGTGGCCCGAGCTGGACGTTAATTCTGGCGTGTCTGCTGATTGCCGCCTCGAGGGGACCCGGGTGGATCGGACGTTCGCCTCCGGCCGGCTCCCGCTGGCCCCCCTGCCCCGGTCAGCCGGCGGGGTCTCGCCGCCTCGCGCCCGTCCTGACAGCGGCCGCGTTTCCCAGCGGCTCCGGCGACCTGCAGGCCAAGCCGCAGAAGCTGCCGCGCAGCGACGCCGTGCTCAACTGTCCGGCCTGCATGACCATGCTCTGTCTCGACTGCCAGAGGTGAGAGGCCACGCCCGGCCGGCTCAAGGTGTATCAGTCACCAATGTTCGGATTTGGTTGGCGAATCACGTAGTTAGTGTTGCACAGCATTACATACGGGGTTATTTTCTGAGCGGCACGTCTAGTTACGTGCCGAAGTGTGCACACGGAAGCGTGGAGGAGCCCCGCTGAGTGCCCCTTGGAAACATGTGCGGAGTTGGATATCGAGGCGCGCGCCGTCACGTGACGCCACGAGTAATGTGATACGGTCTTCTCGCCGCGTGGTGCTGTGGTCATTGCCGGCAAGTGTAGTTATTTTCTGTGTCAGTGTAATTATATTCTCTTAGCGTCACGTGGCGAGAAGATTATGTCACTTGACTCGTTGCGGAGTCATGTGGCGAGAAGAAGATCGTTCATCCCGACTCCGCTGAGTTTTACGGCGACGTAAACAGAAACGCTCACTAGCCTGCTGGCACGCCCGGGGTGCCGTTGAGCGTTTGTCGTGCCGTCTGTATCTAATGTCTAATGTCTTGAATGTCTAAATCTTGTCTTACTGAGAGGCTTGCTAGCTGTGGACGCCACAAGACATTGAGGCTGATGCGTCCAAAGCCCGTGCCATCACAGCGCCGAGCCGACCAGCCGCCCCACACTTGCGGTCACGCGCGGCGGCGGCGGCTCGCGATGCCGTGTGGCGTCACCGCCATGACATCACCGCGTGACCGGCGCCGCCCGTCCGCAGGCACGAGCTGTACAACAACCAGTACCGGGCCATGTTCGTCTTCAACTGCGCCGTGGACGAGAGCGAGGCGCTGCGCTACAGACTGAAGGAGCCGCCGCGGCGGCGAGGCCGGCGCGGCGCGCAGCCGGCGCCCGCCGCCGACGGCGAGGCGCAGCAGCTGTACAACCCGGTGCGTTGCGTCACCTGCCGCACGGAGGTGGCCGTGTACGACACGGACGAGGTGTACCACTTCTTCAACGTGATAGCGAGTCACGCGTGAGCGGCGCGCGCGGCCCCGACGGACGCGCGATTGTGGGTGTGCCGGGCGGCGTTTGTGGCGCGGCTCGGGCGGCCGGGCTCCGCTCGCGCCCCGCCACTCGGTGACTGGCGCCGTACTCCGCGCGACGTGGCCACGGAAGGCGCGGTGTAGTGGGGTGCCCGAGCAGGCCGACAGAAAACTCCGGTCGAAAAGGGTCGCATGAGTGCTGTTTTTCTCGTGCTTCCGGGATGAGACGGACCGGTTGCTCTCGAGGATGACACCGTTGGATTTTGTTATGTGAATTTAAGACATATTTCGTGGTTAAAGGAGGCTTCAGACTTATCTCTGACGAAACAACTTAGCCGGCAAAAGCGTCGTAGGAACGATGGACAGGAGTGTATTCGAAATGCTCCCTGTTGAGCAAGACGTGAGCATCTCGCGTGTTTGGGCATATTCGCTACGAGAACGAAAGCTAGCTCGATTCTATCGCCGTTTTTCATAAAAAGGGCCACGATTGCGGCATCGTTATGATATTGAAAAGGGGGCGGGGGGAGGGGGCGTTCGCCCGGCGTGCTGCTGACCGTGTGCCCGTGGCCACGGAGCCGGCTCACACACCCAGGTTCGCACGCCGCCAGGCGGGCGCCTGAGTCACCGCTGGTGGCATGAAGTTCTCGGGTGGCCGCCAGAACCCCAACTGTTTGAATTCATTTCTGCTGCTCAAAGGTCGTGTACTCCTGTACCGCGTCAGGGGAAAACGGGAACTACTTCAACATCGGACCGCATCGCGCACTGCATGCGTGAAGCCCCACAGAATCCTCAGCCGTGTTCTCGCGGGTCCGCGGTTACGCCTACTGTTTGTTTTGCCTTGAACATGTGTGCTGTGCCTCATGAAGCCGTAAAGGGCGTTCGGGTCGGAGGTGAAACTCATCTTGTGCGCATTTTGTAAAGAGAGTGAGCGCCATGTGATGTTTCTCATGCAATGCCAACATAAAAACAGTGTAGGCACCTCACTGATTTGTTTGTTTTTATGACCTCCCTGGCCACGGATATGCGTCATGCGGTCCCACCAACAGCCGTCCGACATCAGGGGGCGCGACAGCAAAGCTGGATTACAGAGCGCCTGTAGAAGCTGACAAGTGTGACACGAGTACCCTGAGCAGCCGCTGAGAGACATCTGGCCCCAATATATAGTTGTCAGCTGTGTCTATCACAAGCCCATGCACCGCTTGGGCTTGCGGGCACGCACGACACTGTGACAAGTTCTCTAAATACGCCATGAGAGCACGACAAGCCTTCGAAGGTGAAGCATTCCGCAGGGTCCGTGCCTCGCGCCCTCGCGTTTTCGCAGGCCGGTACCGGGCGGAGCGGGCGTGAACACACCCCGCTCCCAGAGCGTACCCACTCGCGCCGGCGCCGCTGAGTCAGCGGCATGCGGTCAGGCGCGCCGCGAACGCCGCACCGTACGCCGGAGGGCGCCGCGGGGCGGAATCACAGGTATTCGCCGCGGAACACGGCCACGTTCTTGTCCGTCTCGAACAGCTTGATCTCGTGCATGGCGACCCCGTCCGGCAGGTGCTTCTGCATGCTCTCCCAGATGAAGACGGCGATGTTCTCCGCCGTGGACACTGTCTCTCTGCGTTAAAAGAGCATGGCTTGGGTCATGAAGGGCTTCCCAGAATACGCCGCTGGACTTTTTAAAAACATTATGCTTATGTCTATATGCTGTTCGTGATCGTTGTGCATTATGCTTGAAAACCTTTTGAGTTGTATACACGACCAGAGGCGGATCCAGAGGGGGGGGGGGCGCAGGGCCATGACCCCCTTGGGCCCCGAAGAGGCCCAATGGCTCCGAGGGGGCCCATAGCCGGCCGAACAGGTGGTGTTTTTTTTTTAGCACAAAAGGCAACAAAACTGATCATCTGGAATTTTAAGCCCCCATTACACCGTCCAGGGCCCCACACTGTTTCTGGGGGACCTATATGCCACTTGCAGGATCATTTCGATCGTTAAGGAGCATTCCACGTTGCCCTTCATCTCTTTGCATTTGCTTGGAGGGCCCTGCACTGGTGTTGGGGCCCTTCCTGTTAGCGTGCCGGGGCACTCTTACCAGTCACGGGCCCTTCCACGGGTTCTTTCCATTCTCCAGAAAGGCTCTGAACTATAACCGTGGCCCCATATCGTAACTTGCCGGGGTATTCTCGGTTGCTCAGGGGCCCTTTACGTCAGTCTCGGTTTACTTATCGACACACTTGCAATATGCTAGTGGGCCCTCTACATTGGTCTAGAGCGTTTCCAATTCTCTGTCACTTGCTTAGGGCCCTACACTCTTGTCGCGGGCCTATCTGACGGCCTGCTTGGGCACACTCAGTCGTTCGGGGACCCTCAGCATTGGGTCTTGGATGCTTTTTTCTAAATAGGAGACCCTACGCTCTTGTGGGGGGGGGGGGGTGAGAGGGGGTCTATCTCGTAACTTGTTCGGACATATTCGATCTTTTGGGGCCCTTTACATTGGGCCTTGGGCACGTGCTATTTGAATGGGGCCCTACGCACTTGTCGGGGGTCCCTCTGTCCGCCTCCTCGGCCATAGTAGATTGCTCGGGGCCCTGCACATTGGTTCTTGGTGTTTGAATTTAGGGCCCTCTGCTCCTATCGGGGTCATCTGATTGCCTGTTCGGGTACACTCCATCTTTCGGGGGCCCTCGCACCGGGTTTTGGGTACTTCTTATTTGAATGGAGGGCCTCACGCTTCTGTCGGGGCCCCTCTGATAGATGTTCGAACCCATTCGATCGTAGGGAACCTTTACATCTGGTTTAGGGTACTTCTTTTTTAAATGGAGGGCCCTCCGCGCCCTTCGGGGGCCTTATCTGTTAACCTGCTCTGTCGCGCTCGATTATTCGGGGTGATCGTGTCGTGGGTATTTCACATTTGAACGGCCCCACGTTCTTGCCGGGGCCCCATCTGTTTACCTGCTCTGGCGCAGTTGAATATCTAGGGGCCCTCCGCCTTGTATATTCTGCTCGGGTACACAACATCTTTCGGGGGCCCCCGCACTGGTTTTGGGTACTTCTTATTTCAACGGAGGGACCTACGCTCTTGTCGGGCCCCTTATAATAAGCTGCTCAGGCACATTCCATCATTCTGGGGCCATTTACATAGGGTCTTCGGTACTTCTCATTCGAATGGAGGGGCCTACGCTCCTGTCGGGAGCCCCATTTGTTAACATGCTCGGGCACACGCGATTGTTCGGGGCCCCCTACATTGGGTCTTGGGTACTTCCTATCTGAATGAAAGGCCCTGCGCTCTTGATAGGGGCCCTTTATATGAACCTGCTCTGACGAACTGAATCGTTCAGAGCCCTACACGTTGCGTCGTGAGTATTTCTTATTTGAATGGATGACCCTATGCTCCTGTCGGGCCCCATCCATTCCAGCTGCTCGGGCCGGTGGCAGATGCAGAGGGGGGGGGGGGGGGGGCACGGAACCATGCTCCATGGACCATGCCGGGGTGACGTAAAGGCTCCGAAGGGGCCCATGACCGGCCAGACGGACGCAGCTTTCTTACAACAAAGCGCAACAAAATCGGATGCTGTTGGGCCTATAGACGACCAGGAACGATTGTTAGCAACGTAAAGAGTTTATGAGCCAACAAAGCCTATTTTTCGCTGATTGAGAAAGTGTTGCTTGGGGGGGGGGGGGGAATTTTAGGGCTCATTACGCTGTCTAGAGGCATCACGCTGCTAGTTGCCTGGTCCCACATGTCCGCCTGCCGGGTCAATCTGATCGCTAAGGAGCTTTCCTCGTAATCCTCGACCTCTTTGCATTTTCTCGTAAGACCCAATATGCCGTTGAGACGCTACCTGCCTCCATGCCTGAGCGCTTTTGATCGATCAGGTTCTCCTCCACGGATTCTTTCCATTCGCCCTAAAGGCTCTAAGCACTTTTCCCGGTGCCCCATATGCCAGGGCACACTCAGTTGCTCACTGGCCCTTCATATAAGCCTCGGGTTTTTCCACCTGCTTGGAGGGCCTTGTGCTGTTGCTAGGGCTCTTGTAAGGTAAGGCACGGAGACACTCGATGCCCAGGGGCCCTCTGCTTTGATCGAGAGCTCTCTCCCTTTGGTTCGATTTGCGCAGGACTTTCCACTCCTATCGAGGGTAGTGTTGTTAACCTGTCCGTGCACTCTTGATCGCTTAGGGGTATTAATTTATGGTCTTGGATTATTCTCCTTTGCTCGGGGGGTCCTGTGCTATGACCGGGGCTTTAAATTTCAGCCTGTTGAGGCACTGCCAATCGTTTAGGGGCCCACCACGTTGGTCTTGGATTCTTTTGCTTGCTCTGGGGACCCTATATTTATTGACGAGGGTCACTTTGTTGGCCTCCTGCGGCATCCAGGATCGCTCAGGTCCCGTCCCTTTTGGTCTTAGTGTCTTCGTCTTAAACCAGCAATCGAATAAGCGCCGATGAATTTTTACGCGCGATTGGCGAACGTAATTTTACATGCCGCCGACTTCGTATGTGTCATTTCCATAGGCTATTGAGTGTGTGACACTTATTATACTAGTGCATCACGTTCCTAACATATTTTAGATGCTATGATATATTGCACTCCTTTATAACAAAGGAAAAATTCCGCATTGGTCATCAGCCATCAGCTGATTTCATCACCCAGCCGGCTAGCCGTAAATACCTAAGCTAGGAACAGAGTCCATGCTTCGTCTTGATGGTTGATAGCAACCAACTCAACTTTGTTTTACCTGTTGTTCCGAAACACTTGGCCTAAAAATCACAGCATTTAAAATAATCCGTGGGAAATAAATGAGTTTTACGTGTATGCATGCGTAGCACGCCTAGCTTTACGGGGCTGTGCACACTAAGATGGGTTTCCGTATTTATTAAATAAATGAATAAGCATCTATATACATACACACACACACGCATAAGTATATATAGATATAAAATATGTATATGTATTACATACGACTTGTCTTAAAATGCAATGACCGAAATGCAAGGATATTTTTTGAAGCGGGCCCCAAACTTCAGGGGCCCGCAATGTCGCGTGCCCCCTCTGTGATGAAATCCTGGATCCGACCCTGCCAACGACATTGTAACGGACGTCCAAAATGGCCTTCCAACCAACATTCCACGGCGTGTTGCGCTCTAACATCAGCTGATGCTATAAAGACGCCCAATCAGTCTCAACATTTTGTAAAAACTGTGTCTTATCTGTAAGAGTTCATCAGATCAGATCTTGGTTTTTGCTCGCACTCTTTTCAGTTTTATGAAACAGCACGCTCCCCCGGGAAGGAGCGTCCCGTGGTCGCCTCAATGCGCGGACGTGCCGCTGGACTGATCACCCTATCAGCGACCGTTCGTGACCCTGCCCGTCCGTGACCCCGCCGTCCGTGACCCCGCCCGCGTGTGACCCCGCCTGCGTGTGACCCCGCCCGGCCGTGACCCGCCCGTCCGTGACCCCGGTATTTCGCCCGACCGCTGTCTCCTGGACACGGGCCTCCTGCGCTGTCAGCCACGCACCGCTCTACGCGGCCGACTCCGCACCGCTGGCCACCCCTTTTGCGAACAACCCCACGATGGGGTTTCCCCATCGGAAATGCGGAACCATCCTTCCAAAAATTGCTGCTGTCAGAAGCGGTCTAGACGCACTGAGCACCGACCCGCAGCCGGTTGTGTGCACTGGTACCAGCATTGGCAGCAGCTTTCAACGTACCCAACGGGGGGCTTTATTTTCAGGTCTCGGCCGAGCCGTCTCCTGACTCGGTCGGGACTGAGTCGATGTGCGCGACTCGGACCGCTTTCGAGTTCCGCCGAAACTGGCTTCGATTTCGTCTGCTGATGCTGTGCTTTGCAAAACCCGCAAAACCTTGTACCTCCACTCTCCGCTCCGCATCCTTCTCAATGATGCACTCTCCACGCGCCATAAAGTCCTTCGGACAGCGGTTCCCTTCGCGCCGGATCGTACTACTAATGCTGTACCCTCTCCGTGCCGTCCTCCTCCCCACGAGCCTGGGCAGTGTCCTCGTTCCATATGACCGGAACTCTTGAGCGGCATACTTCTTCCAACGACGGGCTCCCCGCGCCGCATCCTCCGCCTCCCCTTCAACGAACCATCTGCATCATATACTTTCCCGGACACGGACCGCTCCACGCCACACGCTTTCCCCCAAAACGGGTCTCTTGGCGCCCTTCTCCTCCTCCCTACAATGTGTCCTCCCCTCGCGGCCTCGCCGCATTCTCCACCACACGACAGGCCCTTCAGCGCAGTGTCCTCCTCCACAAAGGCCCATTTGCACCGTATCTTCCCCCTCGCGATTTACCACTTCAAGCCGCAACCTCCCAACGGCGGACCCTCCTCACGCCGTGTCCCCCCGCCATCGACGGGACACTGCCCGTGTCCCCCTAATACCTGCCGTGCCCCATTCCTGTGCCGCCACCCCCGTCCAAGAGCTCTCAGACCGGTTGTCAGACTCCGTCACCCCTGGATGACGGAGTCTGACAACTGCCCATCGCCAGGCATGTTCTAATTTAGCAATGCTTACGGCATGGTCGCCAGGGCTGGGGGTCAGGGCTTTCACGGGCGCGTAGCACAGAAACCAGAGGACTTATGGTCTAAAGAATGGCAGGGCTGTGAACTGCACCGAAAGGTCTTCAAGATGGCTATTTCAGGTCAAAACCCCATGCAAATGTGTAAGACTCCCCTTAAACTCTACACTGCCGGCACTCCTGGGACCGGGGTTTATCCCACCGCAAAGCACATGTGTTGCGTCAGCCAAATCATCGCAGCTTGCAGTCAACAGCCCTCATGTTATGCATAAACATGTTTTGCATCTTACTCAGAGCGGACATTCGCAGCGAAATGACTTCAGCATGGAGACCATCCTGCTTCAGACGATACTCAGTTATTCCGAGAGGGCCATTTGACGGTCCAGCTTGTCCCATCCCGGTCCGCAAAGCGTCGGCGGGATCCAAGTCAGGCAGGAGAGTAAAGCTTCGACGAGACCAACCTGAAGTACGGCACGTCCTGATCGATGTTCTTGTGGTCCATGACGTCCATAATGGCCTCCTCGATCCATAACTTCATGTCGGATATGTTGACCACCATGCCGGTCACGGGGTGGACACGCCCACGCACAGTGGTCTCCACTGTGACGGCGAAGGGCACTCATTTCACCCACAAGGTCAGGTCCAGGCGTTCAACTCACGCACCAGGTCAGGTCGGGACGTTCAACACACGCACCAGGTCAGGTCAGAGCGTTCAACTCACATACCGGGTCAGGTCAGGGCGTTCAACTCACGCACCAGGTCAGGTCAGGTCGTTCAATTCACGCACCACAGGTCAGGTCGGCGTTCAACTCACGTACCAGGTCAGGTCGGGACGTTCAACTCACGCACCAGGTCAGGTCAGGGCGTTCAACTCACGCACCAGGTCAGCTTATACGGAGTGGCAGAGGCATTGGGCTCATTTCCCTGGTCGAGCGGTATCGGCCTGATGTGATCAGGAAACGTGAGGTGTGACGTCAAGCACCACTCCATGCCGCTTAGGTGTCTCAGAGATGTTCATGCTATGTGCCAGCTCACAGACACCCCATACCATGCTACACTGAGGGCCATGCAATACCAGGAAATGGACAAACTTTAAACTCCAACGTTTAAATATAATCCTTGACGTCGTAATTGATGAGACTACCAGAACAACATATGTTGTCTAACTGAACGCACTTTAGTGTCGCATGTTATCGATACAAACAAAAAAGGTCTTAAGCTCTTGCTTGTTGGGCATTATGAGCCCAGAGTTCTCACGCGGACAGTTATTAACCAGCATATAGGAGGTGCTGGTTTATAAACGTTATCGAGCGCGTCGGCTGTTTGACACCTGAGCGCGTGAGCACGGGGATGCGCTTTCAGTACTGACAGAACAGCCAAGTTTTGCTTGATAACTTCTGTTAAGCAGTACTTCTAGATATCATTAATGTCGCCGACTCAGCGTGACAGCTCTGAACGCAATGACGGCGAAAAAAGGAGCTGAAGACCTTTCTTGCCTAGCGCTTGCTAATATGCCAATACGCTAATATGCTTGCAATATCTCCGTAAGGAGACATTGCCGAGTGCGTGGTTACGACCACGCCTCCATTTCGCGCCGCAGCACACCGGCTGGGAAGGCCTGGTCACGTGGAGACTCATCACGCCGCCAGTAGTGGTGGGTCACGTGACACTCATCGCAACGACTACGCAGAAAAAGTTGGCACTCGCCTGTATAGTTGTGGCCATGGCCATTCGCGTTGTTGCATTTGCCAAATATCGACTTGTTATCTTCATCCGATAACGCACAACTGTAGGACAAATCGGATCAAATGTCAATGGTGGCTTCTTTACCCAATGATATATCGGAGCAGTTATTCACAGCAACGCAGCAGTAAAGAAAGTAAGATGAAGAAAAACAGTGCAATGGGGGGGGGGGGGGGAGAGGCGATAGCAAATGCGGAAGTTGCCAGTCGATATCGTGGGATCCAGGTTCAAATCCGATTTGCGCCATAGCTCTTCAGTGCTGTTATGGCCAACGGATGGCGCCGCTTTATGTCCATTAAAGGGACGTGGGGACGTCCGCTGTGTTTCCTTTTTCTTATAGAAAAGATAAATCAGACTTGTGAAAAAGATTGCACAGTTCTTGACAAAACGACATAAATGAAAAGAGCGTAGTTTCCTACCATCGCTTTATGAACTGCGCCGATTTTGGAATGTTGATCAACAAAATCGGTGACTTTGCATTCATTTAACACTGTTGTCAATTTTGAATAAAGTATTGCATCTACACACATGTTTTGGTTTCGTCTTAGCTGCCATGAACGGCTGAATTTAGCTGCCACCCGCGTGTGCAGTGTTAATGGTCCCAACTCTATTGTACTACTCTATCGATCTCCAATATTGCTCAAGAGCCCAGTATTGGAGATCGGTTTTGAAAAAAGGTAGTATTAGCCGCTCTGCGATGATTGCTGGCGCACCTATAGGCCGGACAGGTTTGAGATCCGTTAGTGAGACGTAGCCGGTACATTCGCCTACACCGCGCAGCTGGCTTCGAATCGTCATCTGCTTTCGTCAATGAGCTAACATAATACGACCTAAAAAGCGGTCCAAAACGGGCATGGCTCGTCCGTAACCTCTCGTCTTCAAACGGATGTGCAGTTTGTGCACGAAGGCGCGTGGTCGCCTGCATAGGGCCGCCTCCATTCACACTTCCGCAAATGCGATTATCCTTTTTTCCTCATTCAGAAACTGTTGGTCTCCTGTCGATGCAGCGCACCGTCATCGAGATCTGGACCCGGTTTTAGCCATGTTCCTTAACTATTTGCAAGTTGGAAATTTTGTCTCCTTGGTTTAAAGTGAAGACCAGAGGTAAGATCGTGGTGGTGTAATGTTACAGGAGAAATCCCCTTGTTCAAACAGTTTAAGTGAAGATTCCAAGCAATTTTTGGGCGCACTTCTGAAGAATTCGGGTTCTTCTTAGCGGATACGGCATGAGTTCACGATCAGCAGTGGAAAATTTGCGGCAATCCAGAAAACGGTACGGTCAGACCTGGATAGGGCGCTCACGGCGAAATGTTGTACGATAAGTCAAGAAAGGCTCACCAGACCTGCGACCTCGGTCATTTTAAAGGGGCTCCTAAGGGCTGTATATGTAGCCTGCACTTCAGAATGTTTAGGCTAGGCGTACATGAGCCCATTCCGACTTCATGAAAACTTGACTATCAATGACCTGTCTGATCCGCCATATGATCTAAAAGGCCTTCTCCAGCTCATTTTCAAGCTTAGTTTGACGTCATTGTGCCATAGAAAACGACGCTGGGTTCACGATTCTCTAGCACTGCTGGCATGTGTCTCGAAAGTGCTGCAATACGTACTGTTTGACCCCGCCAGAAGGAACGTTTACAAACTACGCTGTGAGGCAGTAATAAGATCCATCTGCATTCCCGACTGGCTAGAGAGACATGAAGAAAACTACCCGTTGAACTACAAGTGCACTGAACGGCAGTGAATCACGACATGCGCAACCGTACAGCCCCTGCTCAGCATGGCCTCAGGCCCTGACGCCGCCCGCGGAAAGACGCCGAGCGTGCAAGCTTTGCAGAGGGTGCCCTGTAGCGGTGCCGGGCCCGTAGCTACCTCAGCGTCGCCAGCGTCCACCTCACTGACCTGTGCAGGCGGTGACAGGCGCTGAAGCACTGCACCCGGGTGAGGTAGACCACTGGCGCGGGCCGGGCCATGGCGCGCCCGTGCGGCCCCGCTGGCGGCTCAGACGTGGCTGACTCGGGCACCAGCCGGCCCCGGCCGCTCATGAAAGGCAGGCGACCGCCGCCGGCCAGTCTGAGGCAATGGCAGCCGGCGCCGCCACACTGTGGGAACACATGCAGAGGGAGCGGGGACAGTCGTTATCGCGCTTCAGGTCGAAAGTGGGAAGGCGTCTGTCGGCGCGCTGAGCAGCACAAGCTGGTCATTCTGTGGCCGCGGATGTAAGCATTGAATAAAATAGTATCTACGTTTGGACGCCATTTGGTGCTAAACACTGGCAGACAGTCGCAGCCAGCCAACACCGAGCGACTTCCCAACAAACAAAGAAGTGTATTGGCATATTACCAATGCCGCACGTTTGATCATGAAAAAGCTTCACTTTATATTTCAAAATATATCCAACGTGTCTCTTTTTAGAACTAGAACTGTGACACGCATAGGATGCGCCTGATATCATACGTTTTGTCACGAAAATTTTACATCCTCATAACTCAAAACATATCCAATGTGGGTACTTGCATCCGTTTATCTCGCCAAGAAGACAAAGTACTTGGCAAACTTTGTAAACAATGTCTGCAAGTTTGGTTATTGTGTAAAAGGTTTGCCTGCATCATTCGCATGCTAGTCGGTATTCATTGTCTCTAAAGATGAACTCCAAAAAAAAAACAACAACAAAAAACGCACAAGCGTGGAGGTTTTTACTGGGCGGTAAGCGTAGGTGGGTGGGTACCGTTTAGGCAACGAGACCAATGCCTGTTGTACAGTCAACAGGCAATGACTGTCCCTCATGGGTGTGAATTGTGTTCCTTTGTGTGGGGTCCTGCCCCCCCCCCCCCTCCCCCAATGCTGAGTTGGATCCCCCAATGTTGGCTTGGGCCCCCACTATTTTTTGCCTGGAATGCTAAAAGCGTTGGGAAAAGTTGGCCATCACACAACTACCTTTTTTGATCCCATAGTGACGTAGCATTGTAGGGTGCAGCATTAACTCGACCCCGCAACCTCAAAATTATGCCATCGAATTGGTGGGTAACTTAGCACATTGAAGGAAAGCATTAGATTCGACTGTTTTTTGTTTCGTCTGTCAAACGTGAGACCCGACTCTTTTCCTGCCCTCAGCCCAAAAATGATACTGACGATAACAATCCGACCGCCTCAGGGCCTCTTTTATGGGACATTAGATAATTTGGTCCCTGTGCCCATGTTGGGGTACGCACCTAACATTGTTCTACTTGAAGTTAAAACACTGAGTGCTTTATTATGAAGTTTCATGAGAGAACAAAGTTGGGAAACCTTTTTTTGGTGCGGCATCGTAAGTCCAGGTTATAGGTCCAGTTCAACTGCAAAATGATAAAAGATGCGATAAACACACATTTTGATGAGACAAACTTTTAATCTGATTTCTTGCTGAGCATAACCTATTACCAGCACTCTGAACCAACCATCTCATCGCCGTTATGCATGTTCAACGGGTCCATTTTGCCTCGGTCGTTATCCAAATAGTGCAAAAGGACCTTTACCGTGCCATATGCCTACACGACTGTAGACTGCCTGTGACCAGGCTCACACTATCAAGCTAAAGGTCAAATGACACTATTTGACGAGCCATGTACGAACGCTTGCTCCAGACGGCAAACTTGCTACTACGCGTTTCGCCACACGTTACGTCACCATGTTACGCGTTTCGTCACATCATGAATATGGTCAGCATAACTTCAGGGCCCTTCCGAAGCTGGGTTCCCGCTGCGACAATTGGTGTGTCTGCGCCCCAATTTAGTTCTTTTTGCAAGTTTTTCACTCATTGCAGCCAATTAGTTCGCACAAAGGGCACATAGTAAAAAGGCACAGATTTGGTAGGTGGCTGAACATTGAATCAAAAGGCACCCGAATGCAATCAGGCCATCTCCTTCCATACCACGTACCAAATACCGACAACTCTTTTGCCTTACAACCTTTTTACTACATGGTTGTGCATATGCATTCCAATCTACTTTTACTCAAGGTAATTGTTTGTATTTTGAACTGTTTTTTAATTTGGCTTTGCATCTTGCCCACTGCAACACTTCATCCTTTGACTGTTAATGATATAACTAATATAATACTAAATGTATAATACTAAATATATACAATACTAAATGACGTGACCAATATAATACTGTAATGATATAACTAATGATAATAAATACTGATATCATTGCCGCCTCCGTGGTCTTGGGGAAAGATGCTGGACTCGTAATCCAGCGGCACTGGGTACGAGTCCCAGAGTGGGCGCATTGTTTGACCCGACTGAAATGGAAAGGCCAGCTGGCAACTGGTCAACGAGGTTCAACCCGGACCCGAGGCGGCCGTGTCGCAGCATTGTGCGGCACGTAAAACCCTCCGCATGCCTGTCTGGCGAAAGGGCGGAGGCAGAATTGGCTGTTGAACTGGACGGCACGCTTGGGTGGTGGGTTCGGGGTACACGCAACAAGCTATGCTTAGCAGGTACTCTGAATCCGATGTCACACATACACACCATTCGGGATACATTCATAGAAAAGACATAAATTTAGTGATAATTTTCTAAATCTAATGTTTTAATTTCATGATACATCCTTAAACTGGCTTTATCAACATGACATACTTTCATTCAACGGATATTTATGCACACCTCCATCAATAGCACATCCATTTTTATAGCACAGTAACGACAAACTCATCCAGCCGTTATTTATGCAGCGCATTTTATGCATCCATCTGAAGCATTTCGCCTTCATGCTGAATAACATACAGATATTGGTCAAAACGAACTGTTCAATTTGAGTTACTGAACATAAATGAGTATTGCTGAGCATTACAGATTATGATGATGTCCGTGATTATAACCGTTGATGCCATGACAACTTTTAATTGAAAAAACTGTGGTCCGGCGCCGAGTTCAGACCAAAAGTTTTGCATGCCGCTCGTAAGTCACGAAAAAAGAGTGACTTGGATAAAGCACCGCTGTTTTACGCGGGTCGCTGTGTCTTATACCCAAGGACGAACAAGAAATTGGAGTGGGGTAAGTCATTCGGCCGAGTGGCTTGGCCCTCAAACCTCGTAAATAAATCCGTTGATATAGCGGAATGCCTACCGCCCTGTACACAGAAAACATAAATTCTTGTGGCAAAGAGCAGTGCATCCACCAACCTAAGAACATCCGTTCCCTCTTAATAAAAAGTCGTGTTTACTCCCACCGCCAAATAATCGCGACAGCTGGGCGAGAAAACGATGCAATAAACGTGACACACCTACGGACATAAGACGCGCAAATGTTCGTGATATTAAGCTGAAAAGTTCCGGAGCACGGAAATGACCTGAGCCGTTCACAAAAACCCAGTGCCCGTCTCTCCCCCCTCTCCCCGCCATAAAAAAACTCGCGCCGACGCCCATTACCTCCACAGAAGAGCCTTCGGTGCCTCACGGCGGCCTCTAAAGGGACGCCTTTACCTGCCGACCAGAAGGGGCACGCACCTCCAGCGCCCTTCTCCTAGATCCGCTACTGTATCACTACTATGCTGCTTAAAGCAACTACAATTTTTAATGACATAAAAGTTAAAATATAAAGCGTCTTTTCTCAAAATAAAGTGGGCGAAATCCGTTGAAAAAGTGCGGGAGGGGTAGGTCGTCGGGCACTAGGTTGGCCCCCAATCATTTACAAAAATTGGCACCCCTGCTGTCCGTGTATGATCACTGTATCGCCGCTATTTTCCATATCTTCTTTTACTGCCATAGGGTGCAAACCAACGCATGAGGTCCTCGGACATTCGGAATTCCTTGCCTGTCACTGTTCAGCTAATGTGCCACTAGGGGACCTCCAAATGCAAATATTATTCCATGATCGCGTAAAGCGCTCTGGCATGGCCATGTGTTGCCGTGATAGTTGTCACCCTGTGCCAGCTCCAGCAGCTGGTTCTCGTCAGTTACGTCGTCGACAAGCTCTCAAGCCAGCTTAACTTCAGGCTCTGCACCTTCGTTGACGGCGGCCGGATTCCCCATTTAGTCACGAGGTCGGCCGAAGCAAGAGTAATCCGAGACAGCGAAACCGTCACTCCTATACATCCATAGTGAAGATCTTCCCCGGTGGAATGACGTCCGGCCTAGGAACTCATATAATCTCCATCGTGATGCCATCTGGCCCCTCTCAGTCAGCTCTGCGTTGGATATATGATCACGGCAATGCATAAATCAATGCAGCTTGTGGGTCTACAGATGAACTCGATCACCGATTCCGCAATGACTTGGAGCAATGCTGTTTCAGCTCCAGCTTCCCCTTCAGCTCCAGCACATCCTTTAGGCACATCACATCATCCGTAAGCGTAAGGTTTAGCTACCACAACTAGCTAAAGCTAAGGAACAAATGAGCATGACAGTGAGCAACAGAAGTTGCCATTTACAGCATCGATTTGCTTCAGGGCGAGTAGAAGCTGGTCCAACAGCAGACTCCTCTTAAGTGCAGACCTGAGCACCCACCATGGATTGGACATCGTGCGCGGCCCCGAGTATGCGCAGCTGAAACCTGCATGGCAGAACTTCTCCAACAAACACAGCATGCCAAGATAGCATAACTTGCGCTTTTCAATGTAGCTCAACTCTGCACATTAAGGCATAGCTTTCCTTAATGTCGTGCCTGGGGGATGGAGGGCCGCTGACTAGCCCAGGGGCGGCGACACCATAGGGGACGTGAGGCGGGGGGGGGGGGGGGGGGGGGGCGTCCAGCACCACTCACAAAACGTTCCCACAATCCAAGAGATCCAATATTGTCGTCGACCGCGTACACACGTCTGGTTAAGCGAGTTAAGGTGCAAAATCTCATACCGAACGCTAAACGTACTTGACAGGACTATGGACACCGAAAGTTCCCCCACGTTGGGGCCCACATCCATTTTTTTGAATAATTTCTTTCCAGTCATCTTCCACATGGGCAATGACAGCTTTCCGGAAAGCTGGGGCCTCCGCCCCCCCCCCCCCCCCCCCCCGATCCCCCCCCCCTGCTGGTGC